AAAAACCAGCCGATAAGTTTTGAAGCTTGAGTCATGAACAATAAAACTTATCGGTTAAATTTTTTAAAATGATATAAATTTTTTTTGTTTTAGTATTTTGAAGTTGACCAATTGCTACTATAAGCAATTAATGATTATAGATGATCTGCACCGTATTGAAATGACGCAGATCTTTGATCGTGTAACCCAACCTTTGACGAATAAAAAATGTGTCAGACGCGTTACTAATAATAATGTTTACACAATGACTGATTCAATAACATCTAATATTTCATTTCCCTTCAAAAAATGACAGACAAAACATCAAATTTTGACTTGGATTCGAATAACACTGGTAATAATCTTACTTTTATGGATGTAATTGGTAAGCGTTGTCTTTGTAATTAAAAAAAGTTTACGTGTTTCATGTACATTTTTTGGAAGATTAATTTTTTGTAGATAGTTTATTTATAATAACAATGTTTGCAACTTTTTTTAGATATTTCCATTTCAGAATACTTCCAAAATACCACACCTGCAAAATGGTCATTTGATGATTTTTCAAGGACAATGAGGCTATTCATCATGAAAGAAAATAAAAGTACAAATGAACTATTCTCAATATGGCATAAAAGATTTGTAATGCACTTAAATTCATAATTAATAATGCAGAAACAGACGAGACAGTTCGGCAGATTGCAACATTACTTGTAAATCAAGTATAACATAAATTTTTATTTTTTATTTATAGTACATGTGCAGCTCAGGTGGGTGCCGTTCCTCCACTCATGCAAGAGAGTTTCCTTAAGGATGCCGTCCCCTATAAGGTCGCTGAGTATGAGGTGCCGTTCCTCGCACTTTTGCACAAACCAGGGTGGTCCCGTTCCTCTGTTACGTATGTTCATGAAATTTGAGCACTTTCCATTTTAGGTAATTCTTGGCAAAATTGAAGACAAATCACGTGACATGTAAAATTTATTAAATGTTCATGATATCCAATTCATCTGTAACTGAAACAGGCACACATCTATGAGGTTTATACTTTTTTACAACAAACAAAGCTTGTTTGCCTGTTAAACCTATTCTATAAGCACATATATATTTGTGTTTTTCTAGCAAATTTTCTTATTTTCAATAAAAGAACAGATTCCAATGCTTCTGATATTGTTTTCTTAAGACCTTTGAATGAGTAGTTACAGTTTTGTCTGGTGTATTGTTTGGCTGCTCCCCAAAACATTTCAATAAAATTCAATTCACAATGAAATTTTGGATAAAAAATTACCTTGTGACCAGCATTCTCAATTATTTCAGTAAGTAGAGATTTTTGGGAAGCAAAATCATGCTCCAAATAAAGTATCTTTGATGCATAACAATCATTTCTTTGTTGAACATTAATATTATTTTTACAATCATGGCAAATCTTTTTAATCCTTCTTTCCACAAATTTCTTTCTTCTAAAACTACTCTCATACCTTTAGGAGTGCCATCTTCAAACACCATTCCTGAATGGTGCCATCTCTCATTGTTATTGTTCTCATTTTAGGCTGTATACCACCTGGGTTCAAATTCATTCTATTTACTAACAAAGCATCAGAAGCTACAATAACATCATTGAACAATAATTCATCATCACCTTTCAATAACATAAATGATATTAAAATTTTATTTACAAGATATTTATGTAATTTAATTCTAGAACATACTCTTTTTTCCAATTTGTGTTCTCGCATCCTTTAATTGACTTTTGTGCTTGGATGGGTAAGGCATTTTACAGTTTTTTAAGTTTGGAAATTTAGTTTGATTGGTTTTTTAAAAAAAATTTAAACTGATCATGTGATTTTTACAAAAAAACCCGCGTTTTTGAAAAAAATTGGGAAAACAATTTTTTGAAATTTCAGCGCGTGGGAGCCGCTCCAAAACTTATTAACCAATACCCTCCATAAAGTAATAACCATATGAAAGCTTAAAGTATTCTACACCTTGTCTGTTACTATCAAGTCTTTTAAAGCAATATTGGTAGATAATCACAACTTTGAAGTGAAAAAGCACCACTACTTTTAAATAGCCATAGCTTTATATAGGGAGCGTTCTCAGATATAAAAATATATGGTTAGAAAGCTTAAATGTTGTAGTTTCTTTTTATCTTAATAGTGAAGTTCAAGTTTATTATTAGAAAGTCAAGATATTTTTAAAACCCGATTTGTTAATAATCATCCGCAAATCGCCAAATCAATTTCTAAATAAGGATAACACCACCCAATCCACCAATAAATTTGGATATTTTCATGATGCTGCGCAAATTTGCGGATGTTTTTTGCGGAAAAATACATGATTTTGATTTGATACACGGATTTGAAATTTTACAATATTATAAATAGTACTAGTAGAAGCAGCAATAATAGGATTATTATAACTAAAAAAAATAACATAATTAATAAAATTAATAATGAATAGAAATCTGATTGATAATAATAGTATTGTTGTTAATGATGATGTAGATAACAGTGATATTAATAGCAATTATAGTAGCAGTAGTATTAGCAGTAGTGTACATAATAACATCAATGATAATCTAAATATTAGTGATAATAAATCCATCGGAAGGCCCAATCTTCTATATGGAATCAATCACGAGTTTTCTATTGTTGTTATGATCCCTTATTAATATGTAACTTTGGGGATTCTTTATAAAATTATTAATGTATGAATTTGCAAGAGTTGGAATTACAATGTTGAATAATCTTCATATTACACAATTCTAATACAATTACAAATCAAATAATAAATTTATTTTAATATTTTACAAGAGGAATAAATATATACATTAATAAGCTAATATGTAGTTATTAATATCCGCAATCGCCAAACCCATCCCAATTAATAAAAATGGAAGGATCAATTTATCTAGAAAATCCTTCGATTTGTTTTCTGACATCATAACAATATCTCATAACCGATTTGAATTCATTTTCATATTTGAATCTTCTTAATCTATAATATGAATCATCTTTGTTTGTTCTCGTTGTTGTTGCATCATCCACATTAACATCTTCACTATCACCATTATTGTTACTTCTAGATTCCGCCTCTCCTTTTGGTGATTGAAGATCATCGAAAAACATTTCATCTTTTATTAACATCCATTTTGCTTTGTTACATTTGGCTCTTTCGTCTAACAACCAATTGACGTATTCTATTTCTAATAATTTCTTATCGATGGTATTTACCATTTGGAATGTTAATAATAAATCATATCTCAGTATTCCTAATCTTTTACGAGAATTTGCTATTTCAGTTGATAATTTTCTATGTGAAACAAGTAACCACGGATACGGTGGATTATGAATACGTGTTTCAAGGAATTGTTTACGACTAATTATTTAATAGACAACATATGAATCAGTTAATTGATTGGTGATGAGGACGAGGAAATAAAAATTATTCAAGTTTGATTGAAATTTTTACCTTGTAATATCAATTCTTCCATCAATAAATCCTGCACTATGATTGAAAATTCCTTCTTCAATATCTCTAAGAAATATTGCTGGTATATAATAATTATTATTGTTGTTGTTGTTGTTGTTATCATTGTTGCTTTCATCATTAGTACTAATTTTTCCATTTGTCATTGTTATAGTAGGTGTTGGTATCGTTTGTGATAATAATGTTGAAGAAGGCGATGAAAAAGAAAGAGGAGTAGTATGAGCCACGGAATATTTATTGCTAAGTGATGTGTAAATATATATATTAAATAATATAGAGAAAGATAAAAATGCTCCTAGTAATCCGATTAATGAAACATTTGAAATAGTTTCGATTATAATAGAAATGATTCCATATATAAATCCTTTTTGTTGTCCTTCAATTATTGATTGCTGATTATTATTAAATTTTCCAGATCTTAGAGAATGCAGTTTAGATATAAAAGTTGAATTATTATTATTATTGCTGTTATCGTTGTCAATAGTAGCAGTATCATTAAAATTAGCGTCTTCACCACTTGCACCTGTTCTTGTGTGAGAATTTGTGCGTGACTTATGACGGTGATGATGACTACGACGTCTTAAACTATGATTAAGTTGTCTTATTGGCGAAACAGTCGAAACTATGCTCTTGCGTTGTGCAACGTCAATATTCAATATTGTAAGTATATCAACTATTGTCTCTGATAAGCCTGTCATGGCTGATTTTTTTATAGAAGCTAGTAATATAATAATAATAGGTAAATAACAGATTATTATTAATATTAAAATTCAAAATTTAAATTACCTTTAACCACTGATGATTTATTAAACTTAACACCAATGTGAATTGTAAGTTTACACGATGTCTTGCTTACATACGTAATACAAAAGTTGGACATCGGCTTATATGAATCGTTATTATATGGAGTTGATAAAGTTTTTGTATATATTAAAACAGAATAACATCTGATGTTTATTATAGAAATAATTAATAAATAGATAAATATATAGATAGATAAAATTTTGTGTCAAACAAATAATTTAATACACTTACAAATACTCTTCTCTTTTTTGACACACTTGTACATCTACACATTCAGATTCTTTAACTTTTGCTAACAATAGATAACGAGTGAGAATGTTAATTATAAGATATAATTAATATCGAAATTTTCAATCATAGTTTTAAAATACCTTACCAGCTGGATTATTGATTGGTATAATATATCTGAATTCTCTTTTTCTTTCCCCCTCACCACTATTATCAATAACCCAAGGACCACTATGTTGTAAGATATTGCCTTTTTTATGATGTAGTCTTGACCACAAAGTACTTTTCTCATCAAATATCATATCAAATAGTTTTTTAGCAGAAACTGGATATTCAATTTCTGCCTCTAACTTTTCAAGATGATTTGTACAAGCACATCTGATTGGTCCTCTTGGTTGAGGAATATTTGAAGGTAGATCTTCGTCTAGAGTAACATATGTTTTCATAAATATTAATTAAAGTATGTATTTTGTTTGTTTAAATTTTTGTTTCTTACCTTCCGCTGACGCTGAAACATTTGTTGATAATGTCAATTTTTCTTTGGTCCTTTTTTTTTTTTTTTTTTTTGTCCAAATTATTATTGTTATAAAGATAAAAGTGAAACGGAAAATTAGCAAATTGCAATTTTATTTACTTGTAATCATAAAAAATTGAAAAAGGAAATAAACATACGATTTTTCTTTATTTTGACTATCGTTATTAGTGCTATTCTCCAAACTATTATTGTTAATATTTTTATTGAAATCTTGAGGAGAAATCAATTTTTCTAATTGTGACGTGACATTTTTTAAACTATCACTTGCGTTATTGTTAGCAGTAGAAGTAGCAATATTATTATCATTATTTAAAGTTAATTTATAACCCTCTATTTTTGATTTTGGTGCACTCTTGATATTCCAGACAGAATTAAACTTTTCTTGCAATGTCTTTTGCTGGTTTATCACCAAAAAGGATTAAAGATATAATTATTAATAACATATATGAATTTGCATATTTGCGTTTTTTATAATATTCTGTCATACCTTTTCATCGATTGCAAGTTTCCATATTAAATTAATTTTGTCAGAAAATGTTGATCTTGTATCAAAAAATGACTTTACAATATACTAAATTTTTTTATATGAAGTCATCGATTATTATATAAATAATAATATCACTGATAATGAAATTTGGAAAGAAAAATGTATTTACCTTATTTTCCTCATTTTTTACTGAAATTTCCAAAACTTGTTGGAAATCGGAATTAATTGGCTTAATGAACTTTATATCTTTCCATCTTATTGAAAACTTTGAAATTCATTTAAAATTAATAAACAATAATATATTTTCAAGACAAATTAAGAAATTAAAACCATATAACAAATACCATATTAACAACGCTCATTATCAAAGAGTAAAAATAAAATCTATCTTGGGTAAGATAAACTCGGCCTTTCAATAATGTATCATCTTTTTGCCATGCACATTGATAAACTAGAATTATATTTACAAGACATTTAATTAGAAATTAATTAATACCATATTTCTTTTCGAAATGATATGCACATCATACTACATACCATCTAACACAAATTCAGTTTCAAGCATTTCCTGGAAAAACAAATGAAGTTGCACATTATGCAACAATAAAGATTGTGGATATACTGCGATAGAACCATCAACGCCAAAACCGACAGGTCCACCAACGCTACGAGACCTTCCGCCTTTGCTTAGTGCAGAAGATGATCCTCTTCTTCCCGCATTAACATCTCCATCTTCACCTTCAGATCCATTAACAGTGTTCATGATTAAATTTACTGCAGGTAATGCCCATTGTATAGTACCCCAAAAGTGCTGTTGATTTGCTGATGGAGTAGTAGCATTCTTGTCGCCTGATAAAGACTGTGAATTTACATTGTTATTTGAACTTGTTGTATTATTGTTGTTGTTGTTGTTGTTGTTGTTGTTGTTGTTATTGTTGTTGTTGTTGTTGTTATTGTTGTTGTTGTTATTATTATTATTATTATTGTCATTGTTGCTGTTGTTGTTGTTATTATTATTATCATTACTATCATCATCATTGTTATTATTTGAAGGTGTTGGTGTTGTTGCTGTTGTCGCCGCTGTTGATGCAGCTGCAGCTGTAGCTGACAATAATATTTTAGAAGATGTTGAATAACTGTGATGTGGTGTTACTGCTAAAGGAGGTCGTGTGGGAACTGCAGTGGATATAGAAGCAGCTCTTTTTTTTGTTGTTGACATAGACGATGAATCAGCGCCGAAAGTAGGAGATGGTGTAGTAAGAGTATTATGATGCGCGGCAGGTTTTGTGTCGGTTGAAGATTTTTCTGTAATATTGTTATTTTCTACTGTGTTCGATGATAAAGATTTATTTGAATCATCTTGCTTTACAACATCTTCTTCATTTTTAATACTATTCTCATCTTTTTGTTCTTTATGAGATATGGTAGAAGCTGATGTTGTTGTTAATGTTGAAGAAGAAGAGGAAGAAGTAGTAGTAGTAGCAGTAGAAATAGTAGAAAGATCGTTGGAAGTACGGAATGCGTAACGTTTTGCTGACTCAAATACGTTAATCCATTCTTTTAGTTCCTCTTCTGTTTCAGCTTGTAGTAACCACGTGGTTCTTGATATTTTCAAAAATGAAAGGTTTAGTATATGCATGATAATATTTATTTTGAAGATTTGATGGGTTAATTATAAATGTAAAACTTACTGTTTAGCACCATAGACAATTTCAAAGCAGAACCTTCTATCCTGAGAAGTATCTATTCTAGTTTCACATAAGAGTACATCAATCTTCTCACTTTCTCCCACCGAGATGCTTCGATGTTTACCGTGTACAATCGAAGACCACCAAATCATACCATCTTTCAAATACAAATATTTTCTGGTCCATGTATTCTTCCCTGAAGGAGTTCTCATGAAAAGATAGCCTTGTTTTGATGGCATTATTGAGGGAGAAGGAAGATCTATTGAAGGAGGACGATTTGGCTGTATTGATGTCTCATTAATTTGTTGATTATTCATTAATGTGAAATTACTACTGTCTGTGTATTTTGTTAATTTTCTCTGTGGTTTATTAATATTTATTGCATCCTAAATATATAAATCAAATATATATATATATATTTATTAGAAATGAAGTGACGTACGAAGCAAGATAAAAATAAAATATTAAATGGGTATACAAACTTCTTCTACTTTCTTTCTTTGATTTAAAAGGCGCGGCATTTGTTGCTCGCATGCTTTTTTGTTCTTATAATTAAAACCATTATTAATATTATTATTCTAAATAATAGTTATTATATAACAACAACAAATAGTGGATTTACCTCCCATAGCCAACCCTTCAATCTTTCTGATCGGTTCTCGGTACTTTTGTAAACAGTTAAGCTAGCTTCATGAAATTCTAAATGAGCAGAAGTTCCATTCAAATACTAAAAAATAGTAATTTAAACAATCATTAAATTAACAAATCGACTAAAAACCTAGTAATTATTAAAAGAATAATAGCAGCAGTAATGGTAATGATGGTAATGGCGACAATAACCTGTTCCATTAATAAATGATCCAGAGTTGTTCTGAAATGTATTGCTTTCAAGGTATAATCTAATAATACCCTTATGTAAGTTTTTCTGACTTCAAATAATTGAAAAGCATCCTAAAAATTAAAAATTAAAAAAATTAAATCTCAAATATTTATTATATCTATAATTTAAGATTAATGTAGAGAAACGGATACAAACTTCACGTAATGCACTTGCTTCTTTATTTTTAGATTGAGATGTGTATTTTGCCAACATTGATTCATAACGTTCAAGTGCACGATCATAATTTCTACGTGCGTCCTAATTAAAATACAATTTAATATTATTTTTTTTTTACTGATAAAATATACCATTATCATTAATAATGTTATTGCAATAATCATATACTTTAAAATCTTTAAGATCAGTTTTTGTAAAATGCAATAAAGGCTGTATAAGTTTTTCATCAATATCATTAACCTAAAGATTATTATTATTATTCTTTGTTAGTTAGTAATAATAATAATAATAATTAATATAAGAATAAATTAATTAATTAAATATTATTAGCATAGTTACTAATTTTTGTTTAAATGCTAAGGTTGTTTGAAATGTATCTGCAAAGATTCTAGCTGCAGGAAGTGTGAAATCGTGATCTAATGATATTGAAGGGATGGAAACGATCCAAAATCAATTGATTGCATCGATAATAATATTGTTATTACAGATCATAATTGTACATACATACCTAATAATGCATCTTCTGATGAAGAAGGTATTGAACGTTTGGCCAAAACATTACTCGCCTCAATAAATTCTTTAAAAATTTAAAGATAAGGATTTTACTGATTGCTTTTGTCAAGTATTTTTATGGAATTGGAGAACATTAAAAAACAAATCACTTACTGATAGACTCTTCTATAAAATGTTTTAATGATTTTAAATAAAGTTCTAACCATTTTTCAAAATGATCAACCTGTTCCTCAAACCTTCTAACATTTACACGAAATTTGGGTGTGTCGTTAATGGCTTCATCGAGATTAAGGTTAATAAAAATAGTTTCTGTTGGTAAAGGTGGATTTACATGTATTTCCATTTTTCAATTAACTAAAATTTTAAGTTGCTGATTCGATGTTTTAATTTTTTAAACTAAAATGTATTGATTTTTATTATTTTTATTATATATAATTTCAAAAAAAAAATCATACATGCAAAGGATAAATTTTTTGGATAGAAAAAACGATAATTATTTTAGAATTCCCTTCTTTTTGACCTCTTTTGGAGATTCGCAATTTCTCTATAAACATTATCCGTAAATACTTTAATTATTATTATTATTATGCGCTAATTTAACCGTAAGTTGCACGAACGACTGTAATATTAGTACACAATGTATGTATTATATACTATAATGCTATACTGTGAATAATAATAATTATTATAGCAATTTCTATTAATATTAAAGATGATGCAAAAAAGAATGTCCCTCTTGTAACAAACAACAAAAAAATTTCGTGTTCTCAAGCATGTGATCCATAATCATTAACTCGAGGATGGACCCGTGATAATGAATCAATCAATAGATAAAAGTGGGATAAGATTAAAGAAATTAATTTCAAAAAGAATTTAAAAATGAAATTATATTAACGGATAACTTGATTGATGTGGGAAGTAAATAAATAATAAATCTTGCAATACTTGTCATTATAATTGTAATTTATAGCTTGATAAATGGGCATTTGGGTGAATTATAGTAATTGGGATTAACATCATCAATTTTCCATTTCATTGAAAACCTTTCTAATTGATCAAGTTGCTCTTCAGAATAATAGCGTTATTTATTTCAGATATCAAATATTCATTTAGCGGTGGACGTTTATTTGGATTAGCATCCATACACCCATATTAATATGCCAATTCAAATATAAAAACTCGGTGCATTCTTGGAAAGTCCTGGTCTTACTCTCCTATAAATAGCTCATTGTATGAGTTCTAATCCTGGTGCAGTACAGGCATCTTTCGTAATCCATTCCACTATTAAGAGATCCTGATGATTGATTTTTGCTTATATATTTTTTTTAAATCATCAACATTGTAAATAAGTTCTATTTATTTTTTTACTCGGATCATTAATATTTCTCTATTTTTTCTTTACCAAAGGCCCAAAATGGTACATTCATAAGGTAATCATCATAACCGTTATTGGTCTCAGTAGATGGAATTATCTTCCAATCCAATCATGTAGTACTGACTACTGCATCTTTTACACGTGGAGTAAATAAGGCATAAACTCTAGGATTGTGACAATCAGTGTGTTCTAACGTTCCATTCTTTTTAATTGATTTAGCAGAAGTAAAAGGAGTCTATAGAGGTTCCGTATTCCGTACATCTGCGCCTCTGTAGTAAAAAATGCTCTGTATGAAACAAAAGTATGGAATCGAAGATCGTACAGACTGGCCCCACCAATCAACTTTTCTATTTTAATTTCGGAATTCACAAATTCGGTCTAAAGACCTCGCAAATTTTAAAAGTATAGAAGTCATTTTCTGTCCTACATTTTAAAAAATAGCCTTATTAATTGGTAAAATAGGTTTCTACTTTTAATGTAATGAAAAGATTTTCTCCAAAAAATTATTTATTATAGAGTTCTATTCTTTTTTAAAACATGTACTTTACTATGCTCATGAGAAATTTGAACTCTAGGATCATTGCTAAATTTAGACTAGCTTTTGATTATCATTCCTAAATTTAGCCTAATACTCGACCATCATATCTAAATTTGGCAGTAAGGAAAATAGTTTTTTAACCAAAATCACGTGTAACCATTTTTTTAAAAAATTTTGCATTTTTGAAATTTGAGCACGTGGCGCAGCAACAGGAGGTCTTTAGACCGAGCCAACCATACTAATTCTATTCTGCCTTGTGTTAATAAATCAGTAAAGGTCATTTTAACTTTTTAATATTTATTTTTTAAAATAAGTAATAAAGCCTTTGTTTTCTGCACACCCGCACAAAATAAGTTTAAAAAATCTAGTATAATTTTATAAGCACACGAATCTTAATATGCGCAAAAAACTCAATTTTGGCCAGGGTCCTCAGACCCCTCATATTGCTGGTGGACATCCCATTGGATTATTATTTAAATGCCAATTACAGTTTGTCTTTTGTGATTTAGATGTTTTCTCTTTTTTTTTTGGTACCTTCAAACAAAAGTTTGTTTTTTCAAATTTTTCTTAAATCCTTGTTGTTGGGCCCATTGTTTAATATATATTTGATGCTAACTTTCCAAGTTGAGAAATGCATACTAGAATCCAATTTTATGTTAGCTTCGACATCAGCTCCCTTGTTCTCGTCATCCTCCTCCTTTCCTCAATAATATCATCACTCACTAAAAAACATGATGGTTTGTATACATTCGCATTCGCTTACAGAGTCACTTGAAAGATCTATTTCATTTATGATTAATATCAGAATGTTGTAAAATACATTATGACCAACAAAGGTTTTAATGGGATATATAAAATTTATTAAAAATAAAATTTGTTTTAAAAATTTACACATGAAAAAATAATTAATAAATAGTGACTATCTACCCATCAACAATTCACCCAATTCTCTAACTTTAACCTTATCAACTACTATTATCATTGTAATTAATAAATTTCAATTAATTAGCTAACCATTTAACTTACCTTATTAAAATTATATTTCATAATTTAATAAACTATCATTACTTTTTAAATTCAATTTAGCAAATTCATCATTTACATCATTTAATATTCTGCTTGTATGGTATGCTAATGGATGTGATTTGTGAATTTGTTGTGAATTATTGCTGTCATCACCACCACCACTGCTAGTTTCATTAAAATTTTTTGCTTCATAAATTTCCTTTAATTGACTATCAGCAAAATCCCAAAGCTCTTCAATAGTTGGTCTTTTTGATGGATCCACATCCCAACACCTTTGCATCATTTGTACATAATCATCAGGCATTCCTGGTAATATTGGTAGTCGTAAACCTTCACATATTTTTAATTGCAAATGAAAATCATGTGCTGTATCATCAAATGGTGGATGTCCTGCAAATATTTCCCACATTAACATCCCAATGCTATAAACATCAGTTTCTTTTGTGTATTTCACATTAATTTTGCCACCAAATAGCTCAGGTGCAATATAAGGTACAATTCCATAAATTTTATTTGATGATTCAACTGGTCCACATAATCCTAAATCTGTGATATAACAACTACCTCCTTGCATTAATATATTACCACTATGTAAATCACAATGAATTAAATCTTTTGAATGTATACGATATAATGATTCGCATAAACCCATAAAAATATTAGCTCTATCTTTTAATGTTAAATTATAATGATTTTTTTTTATATAATCTCTTAAATTTCCCTCTGATGAATAACTAAGAACCATTGCATAATTTCCATTTTCTGGGAATTTAGTTATACCAAAACAAGGAACAATCATTTCTGATTTGATTTTACAATAATTCAATGCCTGAAATTAATTATATAAATAAAGTTAGTTAATTTAAAATAAAATAAATGGTTTATTTTAAATAAGAACAATTACCTCATCAAAAAAAGGTTTTCCTGGATTACTTGAATTATTTAATGATTTTAATACTACTTGCTCAACTCCAAAATAATTAAACTCCTTTTTATTTTCACCATAATCATCAATAGATCCTCTTGTCCATGTAGCAGTATAAATAGAACTGAATCCACCCTCTGTTAACTTTTTTATATCATAAAATTGCTCATAAGGTATCCATTCTATAATATGCTGCGGAAGAGATGAAAGCTGTTGACATTCTTGAATAAAACTATCAATTATCTCATTTCCAGATGTCCAAGTACTAAAAAGGCTCTGTAAGTGTAGACTAACACACTTTTCACAATATTTATCAGAGTATCTTTCTGCTTTACAATTATTGCATTCTCTTGGTTTACCAAGTTTATGAATTGCATTGTTTAATTCGAAATTATAAACAAACCTTTTGCTACAATATTCCTTTTCATTTTCTAATAGTTCTTTGTTTTCTTTGACTAATTGTAAAAAATAACTTTTATAATTTTCATTGTCAGCAACAACCGGAAAAGCAGAATAAGCAATACTATGCATTTCATTATAAATTTTAATTGCTAATTCTTTTCTGTCTGATGCTAATAACTTATATAAATTATTAAAGGACGTTTTAACTTTTTAATATTTATTTTAAAAAAAATTAATTTTTTATGACAACATTCCTTTTTGTGGTTTTTTTTTGCAAATATAATTTATTATCTAATTTCTCCTACAATATTTGAATATAGTATGAATGAGTGCGCTAGGCTGGAATGAAAACAACTTGTAACTCAATTTTGGCGCAATTTCTTTCATCTTTTCTAGTGCTCTTGAAAAATCGAAACTAAACCGAAAATCACATCTTTCGGATTGAATTCAGTTAAAACTTTATAAATACCATCCATTTTCATCATCCTCATTATTTTCAGATCCCTTGATTTTGGACATAACAATACAATCAACTTCAAGAAGAATTTATTAAATTATTTAAAAAAATAACGATAACAAATTTATTATAACTGATTCGAAGTTCTAAATAGATAGGCTTACCTCAATTTTATTGAACTCCTGATTCTTTTCAATCGTTGTTCATTGTCAAGAACCTCGTCTCCTGTATTTTCGCTTATCGCTCCCCAAATATCTATTTTTTAAAGAACTGTCTTTTTAAAGAATGTATATACTAAAAATAAAAACACCTCTACCTTTTATTCGCAGCTGAAAATTTATTTATGTAAAATTTTCTAAAGCTACTAGAACTGTTTACACCAGGTCTTACCAATTGAAGATGAATTCATGTTTTCGCAATTATCATGTCATGATGAATATTTAAAGTTCACATTGTCTCTTTAAGTTATTCATATCTGAAACAACTTCGTTTCTATATAATTAATTATCAACAAAGCTTCAATTTTTTTAAATGGTAATATATTCTCCTGATTTAACGAGAAAAGAAAAAAAACAACTATACGAATATGGATCGCAATTTGTAATCAGACCTCACTCTGC